CTTCTGTTAACCGAGGCCTGCTCCTCCTTGTTCTGTCCTCCAGAGATTTGTTCAAATGATCAAGATGCTTTCAATTAAATTTTGATTACTTCAAGAGAACACTGTGGTCCCTGAATCCTTTTTTCTTTATGCCAATAAGCTTCTTACAGTATCCTGTGCTGGGGGTTATGCGGTCACTTGGGGAGCCATGGTGTCCTTTGAATTCCCCAGGCAAGGGGCTCTGTCTGAGGAGTTGGCTTGTCTGTTCAGTACATCCAACCTCTCTCTCAAAGACTGTCACCCTAACTGGATATACACCCTGGCAGAGGCACGTGTGTAGTTTGAATTAGGGTTTTGTGTCTAATTCACAGGACAGTCATGAGTGGGACACCTGTCATCCTCTGCCCTTCTAGCTGCCCAAGTGAAAAAAAACCTCAATCCTGGTAACCCTTGCCCCAGTTGCCCACCTTCCTGGGATACAGTAGTTGTTCAATAAAGTTTACTGAAGGAAAGGTGATTGTTCCTTCTGCTGGAAATACCATAAGGGTGGTGGCATAGAGAACCATTTGGTCAGTCACTGCACAGCAGAGTCTGACCCCAAGAGGTGGTCAAGTCCGGCACAGCCAGCGTGCTGCCGCGTGACACTCACTCGTCTCCCTCACCGGGAATGGAAGAAAAGTGGCTTTCCTAGAGGTGCCTTTAGATGACCCAGGAGGAAGGACACTGGCCAAGGGTTTGGACTGGGATCTCTTAATTAAAACAGGAAACTCCAGTCACTGAGGGTGAGCAAACAGCTTTTTATTCAGAGGAGGCAGCAAACCGCACCCAGTCTCCCTCCCTGTAAGATCTCATCTGGTTTTGACATCAGTTGCAATGGTTTCAGTGTAAGGCTAAGCAGAATGTTATGCTGTGAAGTTAGAAGACCACTGTGTCACTGGTGTGGGAGGGACGAGGCTCAGGGTTGGACAGGTTTCTTACCTACATAACCCTGGCCCAGCCCAGCACCTTCCAGAACAGTAACTGACATGGCCGAGGTTACCACGGAGATGGGGTCAGGGGTCGGTGATGAGGGAAGGCAGGGTCTGCCTCTGTGCAGGTAAAATGGCCCTCACCTCAGCCTTCCTTTCCAGAGCAACCAATCTGAAAACAGAATTGGCTTTGGGGCTGGTGTATATTTCTGCTTTCAGGCAAAGCTGGATCCCCAGAAAAGGAGTTTGAAGCCCAATGTGCAAGGACATTTCTCAAGGGCCAAGTGGTTTTGCAGACACCCCTGTCCTCAGGCTTGAACTCACCATAGAGACCCACATCAGAAAACAGTGACCAGCAAATCCTCTTCCCTTATTCTAACTGCCACCCCCTAGGAGACTCCCAGGGCAGCCACTGCTTCCTCCCTGGTGTGAACTCTTCGGTATTCCATGCACCATCCTGGCAGTCCAGGGCTGCTTCTGGTTAGGACAATAGGGGGCCCCTACAGTCAGAACAGCTCTTACCCGAAGTGGTGAGTGCCATTTCCTGCCCAGATTGCAAGTTAATGGCCTTTACAGTTGGCTCAGGCTCCTTATGTCATCATTAATAAATACTAAAGCTGATAAGGACCAAGAAAGTGGGCCTGCAGCCTGAGTGTGGGAGGCCTGATGTCTTTCTGGTTGCTTTGTTGATGTTAGAGTCCCACCATCACCCGTTTGTGGGTCATACTTGGAGATCTCTGAGCAAGGGTTAGGGCAGAGGTGGCTCTGTGAACAGTGGCTCCTTTGAGCAATTAACCCCAGACCCTAGTGGGTCATTGGTTGTAGACAGAGCAACTCTGGCAGGACCGTCACCCTTCAGAGTGCCCAAGGAGGATGTCCAAGAACCAGGATGCTGCTTGGCTCACCTTTCTTTCTCATGGTTGCCACTTTCCTTTCTCAGCGTTCTGAGGCTGCACCTCCAATCACTTTCTTCTCCACTGAACTGGGGCCACAGGCCTGTTGGGGCCAGGACTCATGACCTTTTGTCTGGAGCTGGAAGGGGGGCTCTGACACTGAGGTTTTGCAGGGTATGCTCTGTCGAGTGCCTGCACCCCTGCCAATCCTGATGCCAGTAGATGCTGGGAAAATGGGCCAAAGAGAGGAACAAAGGCCCGTGCAGGGACTGGGTGGGGAATCCATTTCTTATACCAAACAGGGATGAGAACCCTTCTGTTGGACTTTGTGCAGAAGATGCTGCTTCAGCAACCACTGGAATGGGGTTTAGGCACACCGGAACGCTGCTCGACCTTCAGCAGTGGTCACAGACACCACAGGCTTCAAATGGGGTGAAGAGAGTGCAGACTCATCACAGTAGGGGGTGTGTGTGTGTGTGTGTGTGTGCACGTGAGCGCCAAGCGAGTGGCCCAGGGTGTGTGTGTGTCATGGTAGGGGGTGTGTGTGTGTCATGGTAGGGGGGGTGTGTGTGTCATGGTAGGGGGGGTGTGTGTGTCATGGTAGGGGGTGTGTGTGTGTCATGGTGGGGTGTGTGTGTGTGTCATGGTATGGGCTGTGTGTGTCATCATGGTAGGGTGTGTGTGTGTCATCATGGTAGGGGGTGTGTGTGTCATCATGGTAGTGTGTGTGTGTGTGTGTGTGTGTGTGTGCGCGCGCGCCAAACCTGGCCCAACATGGAGAGAGGAAGGAAGGGGTTACAGGGAATGGTAAGGACAGGTGAGTGGCCCACGGAAGGGTTGGAGGTTCTGGGAGTGCACCATGCCCATGAGCCCCTTTAGCCAAAACTCTGGGATGAAGGTTGGCAGCACTTTGTAGTGTTTGGTTCTGTCCCCACAGCAGCATCTATTCATCTATCACCTCCACACAGTCCTCCTCCTTTGTCTCCTCTGATGGATCCTCTGTTGTTTCAGTGTCTGACAGTGACGTCACCTGCCGCACCAAGTCCTTGTCACTGGGGATCTCTGGCTGACACGGTCTGGAGAAGGGGTTGAACCAGTTCAGGGAGAAGTCCCCACCAAAGGTCTCCTTTACTGACTGCCAGCTACCCGTGTGCTCCCTGGGCTGGTTCTTTCGTTGGAGGCGTTCGATGCCCTGGAGGGAGAAGGGGATGAAGAGCATCGTCAGCGTGGTGCTGGGTTGTGCTGCTCATGCACACACCCCCAGCTCAGCAGTGGCAGGGTCCAGGGTGTGGGTAAGATGGGGTCTCTTGTGGCCCAGGTCAGCCCGGAGAGGTGTCTCAGAGGACTGCTTGGGTGTGGGTGGACAGTGGCGTGGAGGGGCACAGCAAGCAGGGCCTGCCCGGGAACTGACACGTTCCCCAGCCACCACCCAGCCCTCCCTCCTTTCCTTCAACAAGTGCAATGACAGATGCTGGGCAGGGGCCAGGCTGCTGAGAAGCTGAGGCATAAGGGAGACCATGCATCCTCTGAAGCCACTAAAAATCCCCTCCCTAAATATTTTTGGCCACTCCCACCAGGGTAGATGTGGGCTGCAAACACAGCAGGACGCTGGGGTTAAGGAGAGCGTGCAGGACACAAACAGCATGCGAGGTGAAGAAGCGGGTGCTCGTATAGCAAGTGCCATCATGCAGTAGGGTGCTGGAGGGCACACAGGACCGCCATGGGGAGGCGAGGCTGGGCTCAGGCCTCCTCATGCAGCAGATCCACCCTGCAGCCTCTCCCAAGTTGCCCACTCACCTGCCTCTGGGTGTCGGCTGCAACTCAGCCGCCAGGCCACAGAAAGGGTGTTGGGTGGGGGAGATGCCCAGAGGAGGTAAAGACATGGCCAGGCCAGCTCTCCGCCCACAACACCTTGCACAGAGGCTTTGAACCCTCCAGTGGGGCCACTGCGTTCTCCATCTCCTTTGGAAGCCAAGGGAATTTGCTGTGGGTTTGCCAGGCTTGGGCACTGCTCATTCACATGACTCAAGAAAGATCTCTGTGTATCTGGTTTTAGGTTTTCTCTTCCACACAAGATCGTTACATAACTGGTACAACCCTTTGTTATGCAGAAAGAAAAACCGAGGCGCACACACAGTCTGAGAGCTGATGGTGCCCTAGGCCAATTCTTCTCCAGCACTTTTTCTTCCCACACCATCTCAGAGATTTAAGATTCTTGACTTTTTAATAAACTCTAAGTTAAAAAAAATCTGATCTCAAAAGTGTATCCTCATAAGAGACTTATCAATTATAAAGGGAAAAACAGTACCTTAATAGTAGGGAAGAAACAATTCCTATTTAATAGTAGGAAGAAACAATTCCTACATTGGGTAAAAGTGGTACCTTCAACCAGTGATCAAAGTTAACATCACAATAGTGAAACTTAACGAAGCCATGTGTCTCCTGATTCGATGCATTGAGGACACATCGCTTCAGTGGTGCTCCCATCCCAAATGCCTGACCTCAATCTAATCCTGAGAAAAACGTCAAACACACAGTTGGAAGGACAGTCTACAAAACACCTGCCCTACAATCTTCGAAAGGGTCAAAGACTGACGAAAATATTTTGGAATTAGATGGACCTGGTGGTTACAAAACACTGCGAATGCATTAAATGTACACTTTAAAATGGTTAATTCTGTGTTACAGAAATTTCACCTCAATTTTTAAAAAGGGTCAAGGTCATAAAAGACAAGGGAAGACTGAGGAACTGTCACAAACTGGAGGAGACTAAGGGGACATTGCAATTGACGCAGCATGGGATCCTGGAACAGAAGAGGATGTTCATGGGACAACTGGAGAGATGTGAATCAGGTCCACACCTTAGTTGAGGGTATTGTGTCGCCAGCATCCAGGTTTTTATATTTGCATTATGGGTGTATAAAATGTTTACTTTTGGTGAGACCGATTGAAGGGTACATGGGAACTCTTTGTACTTTTTTTGTCACATTTTTGTAAGTCTGAAGTTATTTCACAATAAAAAATTTAAAAATAAGAATCCGAGCAAAGATTTATGCAATATAAACTTGAACACTGAATTATAATCATGCAAAGTTGGAAACAAGAGAAATGTCCAATAATGATGGTTAAGCAGATGATTCTATAAAGCAGAACGCTATGCAGCTATACGAGATGGTGTTAATACAATTTTACATGACACTGGAACATTTGTCTGTGTGGTTACTTTTGGGGATGGAATTCTAGATTTGTATTTATTTCTGTAGACTTCTCACACAGTCCAAGTTTTCACCAATGAGCCAATGTTACTTTTATAATCAGAACAAAAATCACTGTTTCAGAAAATGGATCTTATTGACACAGTCTAGAGGGAGCTTCATGTGGGGCAATGCTGCTCCCGGACTGGCCCCTCGCCAGGCCTCCCTTCTGGGCACAGAAGCAGTGACCACTGAGAGGGTTTGCTTTGGGTATTCTGCATTCCCTTCCTGGGTGATTATCTGTAGCCTGTCGAGAAAGATGCTTTAACTTGATAGCACCAGAGCTGGGACATTACCATATGGCAAACGGGCTACAGGGGAGACACCCAGAAATGACAGACTGGCTGCATCCTCACTGACTTGGACTCAAAGCCATGACCATAGTTTTTTATAGCCTCCTTGTGAGGTGGGTCTGAGTATTGATGCTTGGCAGATAAGGAAGAAATACAAGTTCCAAGAGGCCATGAGAATGGCCAAGGCTTGTCTGGCTTATTATGCAGCAGAACTGGGAGCAGAATTAGCGTCTTTTTTCTGCCCAACATGTTTTCCCACTGTGCAAATCCCCACTGTGCCCAGGCTGAGCTCAGTCAGAGGGAAGGGAGATGAAGCCAAGAGCCCACAGGATTATTTGCCATTCATGTGGCATGCACCCGATAGGCACTCTTGGATTATACTCAACCTCCTCACCAAGCCATAAAAGTATTCCAGGCAGAGCCCGGCCTGTCTACCAGAGGTCTTCAGCAGTCAAGTGGACAAATGTTCAGGGAGTACTGACTACTTCTGAGTTCCTGAAAGAAAATACTGCAAACAAATCTGATGTAATAAATGGCCTGAGGGTTGCTTTTTCCTGGTAGGACACAATTTTGAGTTTTTCGTGGATTTAAAGGGATCTTGCAGGCAAAGTTCTTAAGCTTGAGGTTTGTAGAAGAGCAGTAACACTAGCTTCAGGCTCAAGAAAACAAACAAAAATGGTTGATTTCTGGTCAGGGGGTTGTAGTTGAGACCAGCAGCTCTTGCAGAGTATGTGACGGGGCCTTTTGGCCCAGGTCAGCCTGGGTGACACATGAGCTGTGATCTGTGAACAAACTCACCAACACTCCAAAATGAATGTATTAGGACTAAGGCTCCCAAGCAAGAAGAGTCCGTGCAGACTCAGCTGAGCCCCACAGAGTGAGAATAGGTTGTTCCCTGCTCCCTGCATCATCATGTAGAAAGCCAGAGCCCCAGGCAGCAGCCCAGGCAAATGCGTCTCTTCATAGCTGGCCAGATAACACTGTCTCTCCTCATCAGAGATTTCATACTTCTATATTGTAACCCACAAGAGGAAATATTTTTCTGTTGCATTCCAGAACACATATATACACAGCCCCTAAGCTTCATAAAACAATACTTACCCTGCAATATGTAATGCATTTAAATTTTTTCTTGAAAAAAATGCTGGTTGCAAACCATTAATGGTTGTGACCAATGGTTTGAAAAGCGCAGCTCTAACACAGCTAACATTTATAAAGCCATACCAGGGCCAGATACCATACATTCCCATTCATCACCCTCATTTAATCCTTCCATTAACTTTGTGATTTAGGTTATCATTCCAGTTTTACAGATGAGAAAACTGAGTCTTAAAGAAGTTGATGCTCAAGGTCGTATTTTGGTAGTAAGGTATGGTGATACGTAGCCAAGCAGAGATTTGAACCAAAGACTGAAGCCAGGACCAGACTCTATGGCCACAACCACAGAAATCCAGGGCATTCTATGTCCGTGTTAGAGCATGTGTGTCCCCCTGAAGGCTTTTGGCAAACTTCCCTCTGCAGTGCTCGTCATCACTCTTGGATCAGCTTCATCGGCTCCTGTGTGCGCATGTGCCACAACAGAGCGGGTTCCCAGGGGGCCACTCTGCTTTGCTATGGCAATCACGCTGCTCAAGTCAGCAGATGTTTTCTTGAGAGAGAGGGTGGGAAAAGGAAGGTTTCAGTTTGAGAGTACGCTGGTCAGTGGCTTGTTTCTATTTCACTGTGAATTCTTTCTCTTCTGTGAGGTGATCCTAAGTTAGATATGTATTTAAAGAATATAAGAAAAAGCCACATGGGTGTTGAAGCCCACACATGGAAAGCAAAGGTCAGGACACGTACAGGTCATGTATCCAGGCTGCTACAATGCCCCTGGCTCTAGACTACTCACCGACTGCTGCTCCCATCTGGAGGTCTCTGGGTTCTATTCTTTTCTCTTTCCCTTCTGGGATGGTTCTTCACCCAAAGGGCCCTTGGTCTAGAGATGGGTTCAACTGATGAGAGGCAGAAGGAGCGGTGGGCAGGCTAATAATTTTGATCCACTTCATACAGACTTTCTTTGATGCCTTGGCAGTTGTTTGCTGGGGAGGCCACAGGTTCAAGGGAGGTTTCAGTGGTTTCTCAGCAGTGGGAACACGTGCCTATCTTCACAATCAGCACTTTTGACTGTACTACGCTGCGCCTAGCAGCACACAGGACCCATATCACCAGCAGCCATCAGGGACCACCTGAGGAACGACCCTTGCAAGCCCCGAGTGGATTCTCAAACTTGAGAGTTAGTCAGAACCACCTGAAGGGCTGTTAAAATACGGACTGCTGGGCCCCACTGTTTCTGCTCAGAAGCCTGGGGTGGGGACCAAGAATGTGTACTTCGAACAAGTTCTCAGGTGATGCTGATGTTGCCGGTCTGGTAACCTCAAGAACACCCTTGAGGAGGATTCTAGCAAAATCTTTCTCTCTTCGCATTTCTTTGACATTTAAAGGTACCTTCTAGCTGGGGCTCCTTCCCTCTACTGACTGGCTCACCCTTTAAGCTGATGGACTGCAAGTCTTGAAAGAGAGAAATTTAAAATACATTAGGCTGGATGACAATGTCCAGCCTAGACACCGAGAGAGGAGTTTCTGTGTAATGCCAACCTCATATATGTGTTTACAATGTTTATTAATTTATCTCACCTGAAAGGTTTCTGCATTAGGGGATGGTGGATTCTAACTATTTAAGTGGCCTAGACAGATGAGCAAAAGCGAATACTTTGGGCTCTCTCAAGAAGGAAATACAGGGCTGAGCCCAGTGGCTCACGCCTGTAATTCCAGGACGTTGGGAGGCTAAGGCAGGATGATTACTTGAGGCCAGGCATTTGAGACTGGCTGGGGCAACACAATGAGACCTCAAGTCTATGAAAAGACAACAAAATGAACCAGGCATGGTAGTACATGCCTGTAGCCGTGGATACTCAGGAGGCCAAGGCACAATAATCACTTGAATTCAGGAGTTCAAGGCTGCAGTGAGTTCTAATTCTGCAATGGGTGACAGAGCAAGACCCTGTCTCAAACAAAAAAGAGGAAGTACGGTATGAAGACAAAATGGCAGGACTGAAAGGAGATTTAGCACATGCACTTCTACCCAAATGTATTTTGTGTACATATTACCAAGCCCATGCAAATATGCACAGATTATAGATTTGCTTGTATGTAAGCCTTTTGCATATTCAGTCTGGTTGCTGTGAACACAAACCTGAAGTTGACAGAAGGAAAGCAAGCTGGGGATCATCTAATCTAACATGCCACATCTTTATTTTTCACTTCCACTCCCCAGAACCCAGGTTCTGAAAGCCTGTGACTACTACTGGTTCATTTTCCCATGCGTGCACCCAACGCTACTATCAGAACTCCTGTGACCAAGCCAAAAGTTGGGGCCTACTTTGTGTATAAAGATGTCCTCTTTGATTACATCTGGAAATACTGAGGAGAGCTCAGGGATGCTTTTTCTTCCTGTGTGGAAGCCAGGTTGGGAACCAATCATTATGCTGCCAATGATGGCCACATTGCTCAGTCATTGTGCTCTCAGGAAAATGTTATCAGTCTGAACGAAAATGAAAGAGCAAAAATGCCAGGAACTTTGGGGGAGTTCCTGTCTTCTGAATGCAGCTGGTTTGAGAGCTCAAGGACATTGACTTTTTCTAGCCAAGGCCTAAACAAACCCAAGGAACTCCACTCTATGGGAAAGATAAACATCATATGCACAAGTTTAAAGGATGAGTTTCTATTTTTAAGATAAAAAAAAAAATTCAATGCATCTTCAGCACTATCTACTGCATTCCTTTAGAAATGCCAGGGGAAAAGAACTAACCTGGCTCACTTTAAAAAATGCCCTTGAAGATGGAATATGATCAATCTCTCTCCCCTAGGGGAGGGCCAGCGCTGCGGCCCCTCTCTAGTTATTTAATACAATCACATTTCTTTCATACACCTAAGTGAATAGTGTATTAAGAAAAAAATATTTAAAAGCATATGGAGAATAAATGCTATCAAGTCAATCTAAAACAGCATTCTTTTTTTTAAATCTTAGCATCTCAGCCTTGCCTGTATCGCAAGAATAGCACCGTAGAGGTGAGTCAAAGTTAACTGACCCAGAAACGCTCTTAGGAGAGTCCAATAACACAAAGGAATCAATTCAGGCTGCAGAAAGCAAAGGAGACAGGCCTGGTAGGGCAAGCTGGTTCAAGAGACGGATCTTTTGGTCCTTTAAAACCAACAAACAAAATCCTCATTCAGGAGAAGGAGCAAAGAAACAAACACCCAACCAGAGAAAACTCAAGTAGACTGGTAGTACATGCTGGGGATAGTCAGCCTCCTGCTAAGGGTAACGCCTCAAGAGAGGAGAGCTAAATCAGAACAGGTTTTGGAAAAATTTTATTGCATTTCGTTTCCATGTGGAAGCACTGACAGAATTTAAAAGAGGCAGCATGTTCCACTTACTTTTCTGAAAAATCACATGGCTAGATTAACTTTCGCCCTACCCAGGACAGGACTGAATAAACCTTATCTCCTACCCCCACCCCAAGCAAAAGCTAAAAAAGGCGGTTTGTGGCAATTGCTTAAAAAACAATGTGTGCGAATTCCCAGATGGTCAATAATCGTATTTGTTATTTTTGTACTTGGAGGGCACTTCCTATCTCCTTCACCTCTCCCCACCATCACCACCTTCTTCAAACAAGACTCACACAGTAAGTGCCTCTCAAATGGAAAATCTATTCTGTCCCAGTGCCACAGACTTAGGTGTATGTGTGGACTACAGCCAATGGGATGGCCACATGTTGACTTTGATAGGGTGGGGACTGTGAGGTGAATTCCCAGCATCATGGTCATCTCCATGCCAGGACAACAGTCTCCCAGGTTAAAATACAGAGAAAATACGTGCACATCTATGGGGGTTAAATATCAGAAAGTGAATCCTCTTTGAGGGCTATTAAAACCAGAAGAAAGGGATGATGGTAGGACTGTGTGTGTTGGGCACTGGTGCCTACTGCAGTCAGAATTAACACTGCTTAATTGACATCTTGCTGGGACATCTTGAAGGGAGGGGGTTGGGGTGGTAAGAGAGGAAGCAGATATAACAAAGGAAAACGTAGCTTGCCTGAAATTGTGTAATTTTTTCCCCTCTTGATTGTATAAGGCATTTTGAACTGGAAAAACATCTTTCCTTCATACTCTTACAAATAATCACAGGGAATACAATTGCTGATTCGGAATACAAATAAGATCTCTTTCATCTCTCTCCCCACTCCCCTGCAAGATCATTCTACACACCCCAACTCCATAAAGCACAATGCAGGCAACTGCTTTGCAAATTAGGAGGCAAACTGTGTCCACCTGGGGGATGAGGTCGCTGTGCCAAGGTCCCTTCTGAAGCCTCCAACCCTGATCCTGCCCTTCTCAGGCCTCAAGGGGGAAGCATCCATCTTCAGCGAGCTTTTAAGTCCCATGGGGGAGCCCGCCACTGCCTCCTGGGCAGTGGGAGGTCAGGGCCCTCCTGGCTTTCCCTTGCATCCCCCACCGGGTTTCCCGACTATTCCATCCATGTGCAGCATCCCGTCTCACTCAGTTAGTAGAAGTGGGCACAGCCCGGAGACAGCACCCTCTACATTAGTCATGCCAGACAGACAGCAGAGAGAAACCAGAGGCCAGAGAAGTGATTTTAAAAGAAAAAGAGAGCAGCTTCGGTCACCAAAAAAAAAAAAAAAAAAAAAAAAAAAAATCAAAAGGATGATTTTAAAAAAATAAAATATGGGGACTTTTTTTTCTCTAAAATGCTCAGCCATTTTACTTGAGACATAAAAAATGTTTAAAGAGTAGTTGTTTTGCTTTTTCGATTTAAACATTCATGAGAACGAATGGGACGGTAGTGCTGTGGTGTGGGCTTGTGTCTGAGTGGCCACTCTGGTCGGGGTCCTTCAGACCACATACTGGTACGGGTCTGCCTTCCCTTGGTCTGGCGTGGCAAAGGGGCTGGCCCAGCCTAGAGAGAATGGGTGGCCAAAAACGGCTTTCATGTTCATCCATTTTGTTTTTTTAGCCCATCTTCTCTCTTCCTTTTTCAATTGTTCTATTCCCTGAAAACAAGAACAATCACACTTTCAGTCAAGCACTGCATTGCTGTGGTTTTTGGGGAGGGACATCCACAGTGTGAGGTGAATGGAGTAAATGCTTCCTTTTTAAAGCAATGAAGCTATCTACATAATACATCTTTCTCATAAAAAGTGTTATTAAAAATTGCTCTTTTTCTGGTGGGCACTCATCCACAAGTCCCTCCAAGAAGGGAGGGAAAAAGGAGCACTATCAGTGGGGCAGAAGCCGCTGCTCCTAAGTATGCCGGGCTGGGGTGTGTCACTAAGCCCTGGCCCCTTGCTGAGCTCCACAGAAGTGCTCTTCAGAAGCTCTGTGCTGGGCTGTGGATGGACTGCTGTGAAGGCTTTGGCATGAAAGGCCTCAGAGTTGTTGGGGAGCTCGTTAATTGTCATAACCAATGATGGCCGTTAATTTGGGAGAGGCTCCTGAGAAGTTTGAAGCTACCATGACCACTTTGCAGACAAAAAACAAAAGTAACAAATCAAATGACTGCTCTGGCACTGTGTGTCTCACCAGCCTGGGGGATCAGATCAAGCAGCACCCTGCTTAGTGGGGCTGGTGAGACACAAACTGAGAAGGCTGAATAGGAGTGACAGACCATGAATGAGGGTAGAAGTCACCACAGAGGAGGAAGGAGGAGGGATTAGTACAGGTTAGAGGGTGGCATGGCCAGGCCAGTCAGCCTGGCATGGCAAAACTCCTCCTAGTGGTTCCTTTGGGCAGAAGCATGGCGGACACCTACACAGCAGGTGTCACGAAGCCAGCACCGCTTCCCCTGCTAAGTCTCAGGAATAAACTGGGGCTGGGGGCAGAGCTGCTTCCTCCCTGTCTTCCTTCTTCAGATGGAGCTGGTCAAAGGGCAGGGCTTGAGAATGGGGACCCTACCCGGAGGGACAGGAGAGGAGCAGTCTGGCAGGAGCCTGGCCAGGGGTCTGTCTGCTGTGGTCTCTGGTGAAGGGGTGCTGGGGGGACGGCTGAGTCTGAGCCTTTCTTCACAGCCTAGGGACCTGGGAAGGACACAAGGCAAAGGGAACACACCCTTTCCCAGGAGGGGCAGGGCCCTTTGGTGCTTTTTCCTTTCCTTCCAACACAATTCCCTTTAGGAATGGACTTCACAGGGAAGAACAACTAGGACCGGGGCCGTGAAAGCTTGCCTTCTGAGTGGCCAGGCGCAGTGGCTCATGCCTGCAATCCCAGCACTTTGGGAGGCGTTGGTGGGGGAATCCCCTGAGGTCAGGAGTTTGAGACCAGCCTGACCGACATGGTAAAACCCCATCTCTACTAAAAAAATACAACAACAACAACAACAAATTAGCCAGGCATGGTAGCACGTGCCTATAATCCCAGCTACTTGGGAGGCTGAGGCAAGAGAATTGCTTGAACTCGGGAGGTGGAGGTTGCAGTGAGCCGAGACAACACAACTACACTCCAGCCGGGGCAAGAGTGACACTCCGTCTCAAAAAAGGAAGGAAGCTTGCCTTGCCTTCTGGCTCTCCCAGACCGTGGCCTGCCAGTATCCTAAAGGCAGGCAGGTCCCGAAAGAATCCATCCCGGTTCCCTGCAGATCTTAAGCAGAGAAGTTGGTCACAGTTACTGGCTGGATCCACGGCTGGATCTACACCACTGGCTACTAGTGTCACAGAAAACTTTTGGAATGACATCATTTCTTAGAAAAAAAGTTGCTAAAAGCCCCAAACAATGCTGCTCCGGCAGTGGGCAGGAGTGTCCCTTCTTTTCCCTGCACACTCCTCTAAGCCCACAGGGGAAGGTGGCCAGCAGCGCGGGAGGATGTTGTCTTCCTGTGAGCCTGCTCCTAATGCTGACTACCCACAGGCCCAAACCTTTACCCAGAGCTCTGGACCACTGGTGAGAGCTGACCCTGAGGGGCCGCAGGACGCGAGGAGTGGCACAGGAATGGCTCTCGACCTCATGGCTCTGCTTGCTTCCCACACCCAGAGCTAAGTGCTGCCCCTTCTTCCTATGTAAATCCCCAAAGACATGCCTACAACCCAACCAGGGATTGACCACCTTGAGGTTTCCAGACATCTTAGGAAGGTCAGGAGACGGCGGCAGGGACACCAAGGGAATAGGCCCCAGTCTGGCATACTCAGCAGCCTCAAAACTCCCAGTGAAGGTGCTGTGGGCAGATGGGAGGTGGCAGTGGGGGTGAGAAGGCAGTGGATGAGGCCCAGGGCTGGGCCGGACAGAGATGACCCAGAGGCCAGGTAAAAGTCTACTGCCTTGGGGGCTCGAGGCAGACCTGCCTCCTGACTCTGCCCTCAGGACCCAGGCATGGCCAGTAAGCTGACCAGCCTGTTCTAGCTGGGTTAGGGTACCCCGTCAACCACTCTATTTCAAGCCTGTGGCCCCAGATGGGGAGGGCGCCCCCTGTGCCTAGTGGAGTGTCTAATGGAGTGCAGTGTGAAGACCTGCACGGGGATGGAAGGAAATGTGGTAAAGGCAGCCTTTCAGCTATGGCTGCTGTGCCCCACTCCCGGTGTGATCTGCTGTGGCTGCCCCAAGGCTGGAGGACTTGTGTGTGCATGAAGACGACCCAAGTGTAACTGCAAACAAAGGAATGATGCCCTGCACACCAGGGGCCTGACCACTGGGCTCTGGTCTGACCTGTGAGCAGCTTTCCCAGCAACACTGATCCTGGGTCCTCCCCATCCCCAGGTGGGGAAATGGTTGGCAGAGCTGCCTCTTACCGTCTCATCTGTGCAGATGGAGTGCACCTGGGTCCCAAACATCACTGATGTGAAAATGAGGAAGAGCAGGCCCTCAAAGCACAGCAGGATAAGGAGAATCACCGTGGTGGGTGGAGAGAACGAGCTGCACTCTGGAAAACGAAGCACACAGGGCTTAGTGCCGCCAACCACTGCCCGCTGGCCAGGCTCACCACCCCACTGGGCTCCCACTCTGCCTGCTGCCTACAGGCTTTCGTTCCTCCTGTGTGCCACAGGTCTCTAGCCTCTAGGTCACGGTAAGGATCATCCTGGCCCACACTGGTTATCGCTCATTTCCTCAGGGAGGTCTCCTCAATAGGCCGGGCCCCAGCTACGGAAATTTGTCCATTCCGTAACACAAATCACTCCTTGTTCACTGCCCTCAGTGCCAAGCACAGCACCTGACATACGGAAGGGCCCAGGAAGGCCTCTGAACGGAGGCATGAAGGCCTGGTGACACCACAGGGGATCCTCCTCTCCTCAGACAGCACAATGCAGGCACACAGGTGGAGAGGACTGTCCAGTCCTACTATGGCCATAGGTTTTCTGGGCATTCCTATATGAGGTGCTGCCCCTCTGTGTCCCCATCAGCTCACAGGCAGCTGGGGAGGATCACTTGGTGGCTTTGGAATTTTAGGCTTGGCAGGAGCAGTTGAACTGCCAGGACTCAGCCCCGACCACAGTGTGAAGTAATGCATGGCCCCCACTCCCAGGGACATCTGCACCACCAAGGCCATCAGTGCCAAAGGCCAGGGAGTCAACCAAAGAGGCATCGGCCCAGAGTAGGCATTTTCACTGTCCTGGCCTCCAGCCCTGTAGTCTCCACGCCTCCAGTCCCTCCACTGTAAAGCAGTGAGATTTGACTAGAGGTATGGCTTGGTTTTAAGCAGCAGAGTCTTGCCTGAACAAAGTCTAAGTCAGAAACCCCGCGTACAGAGGAGAAAAACAAAGGTGCTGTGAAGATGGTGGGAGTGAGCAGGGAGGGGAGAGCTCTGAAGCGATGTGACCTGGGAAATGCCTGGCCCAGCAGATGGCGCTGGCAGACAGGCTAGGCCCCTCGGCTGGCACTCTTCACCTAAGGACTTCTGAGCCTCAGAGCAGCTGCCCATGCTGGCTGAGCCTAGGCTGTGGTTTGTTTCTTGTTGCTCCCATACTTGTGCCTGCTTCCCTGGCTGGAAAGATCAGATCCTGGAAGGCAGAGTTGGGCTTCAATGGTTCTGGGAATTATGGGGTTAAGCACCCCATTCAAGCCATCCTGCTGGCTCCCCCAGGGGAACCTCAGGACGGGAAAGGGAGGTCAAATGTGGGAATGAGCTTGAAAAGACACCAAGCACCACATGGGTGATAGGTAAGGAACACCTCATCTCCAGTGCACATCTCCTCCGGTTTCCCTGGGAACGTACTGATTCCTCAGAATGATTTCTCTTCTTGGCTCCTTGTGGGGCAGAGCCTGGTTGGGGTGGCCCACCAGCCTGATGCACTGGCCGTGGGTGGCTACAAGTATGGGTGGCCTTGGGCTGAGCAGGGTGTTGGGAAGAACAAGAGCTCTGGCATCTGGCAGGCACAGCGAGGTACAAACCCTGGCACCAATTCCTGATCATGAACTCTAACTACAAGGCCCCCGCTAATACCCTGTTCTGGCCCATGTATTTCCTGTCCTCTGCATTGTGGAATTACCTCCTTGTTTCTGTACTTGTTGAATAACTGCCTCTCCCACTACACTTCAGACTCCAGGAGGAGAGAGACTTGGTCTTGCTCACTGCTGTACAGCCAGCCTTGGGACAGTGCCTGACAACAAAAGGATCTGGGCAAGAGGTTTGGGCTTTCTGAAATGTTGTTTTCCGTTCTATACAGGGGAGTGCTTAAGAATTCATGAAAGAACATCTGCAGAGTTTGGCCTTGGCCTGGAAGGAGCACATGAGGGTGCCTGCTGAATAAGGCACCTCCTTCTTCCCTACCACGGCTGCCCTGGAGCTGGTGGCAGAGCCCAGGGCCTGTTCTCCCTCCTTGCAAAGTGGCAAGCATCCTTCCTCTGTGGGCTGGGCCCTGGGAATTACCAACGGAGTTTGCGGAGGCAGGAACCAGATCAGTGTGTGGAACCGCCTCCCTACCCTTCTTTAAACATCAACTCTAAGTGCCCTAACCCTGGGGACAACCCTCTGCCCCTGCTCACACCAGCTCTGATGGCCCAACAATTCCACCAGGGCTGAGCAGTGAGGGCAGTAACTAACGGTCATATACAGTCAACTCTCAGGCCTCAACTTTGGGGACTGACCTGTGCCTTCCCAGCCTAGCTGCCATAGGAGCTGGGTGCTTGAAGCCCACTCCATCAGGAATCTTAACCACAGTTAATCAGCATGGCTGGGAGGACCCTGGACGTTGGAGTCAACAGGACAGGGCTAAAAATCTTGCTCCAGACCTAGGCTTGAACTAGAGGCCGGCTTCTTAGCTGAGTGATCTTGGGAACTTGCTCATCCTCTGTGAGCTGCAGCTTTTGTCATCTGCAAAGTGGGAAGCATCTCGTCTACCCTGCCAGCTTATTATAAGGTTAAAACAATGCACTGCTCAAAAAGCCCTTAGGGCCATTTCCGGTTCCCAGGAGGCATTCATGAAATGGTCCCTGCCAGCACCATTCCAACGACAGAGACATTTTGCCTCACTGATAGTCTGTGCTACCATCACTGCTCAAGTCTGTTAACCTGACGAGATGTGGGAGGTGTTTGGGATGATAAAATATCCTCACTGGACTCCCCTGTCAAGTCACCAAGGCCAAATCTGGAGTAGATCTGGTTTGCCAAGCCTAGCAGGAGGCATGTACTTCAGAATGCTCACCACGTGGTGAGGAACTTGCTGGCGACTCACCCAGCTATGCAGAATGGAAAGTTCTGCACATACCCACTCACCCCTACCCTTCTCTTCTCTCCCTATTGTTTGCCAGCTTGACCTCTGCCACCTGACTGATGCCAGAATTGTGGTAAGAAAATGCTGAAGTTGGCATGTATAGGAATAGCAAAAGTTCTAAAGACAGTGAAATAATAAAAGGGGGCCATGGAGGGAAAAGCAGAGAAAATACAAAGTTCCTTGCTCAAGATGGTTGTCTTGGGCCGGGCGCGGTGGCCCACACCTGTAACCCCAGCACTTTGGGAGGCCGAGGCGGGTGGATCACGAGGTCAAGAGATCGAGACCATCCTGGCCAATATTCTGAAACCTGGTCTCTACTAAAAATACAAAAAATTAGCTGGGCATGGTGGTGCGTGCCTGTAATCCCAGCTACTCAGGAGGCGGAGGCAGGAGAATCGCTTGAACATGGGAGGCGGAGATTACAGTGAGTGGAGATTGCGCCACTGCACTCCAGCCTGGCAACAGAGTGAGACTCCATCTAAAAAAAAAAAAATAAAGTAAAAAAGACGGTTGTCTCATAGATTGTGAGTGCAAAAGAGACAGCCTAGCAGGTGGTCTCTTATTTCTTTTCCTCCAGCATCTATTGTTTTCCTTCAGGATCTGTGCAATCTTCTGGCTGGAGTTTCTTCCTCAGCATTTGCACATTTCAGTGGGATGCCTCTAAAGCAGGAGGAATTATCTACAATCTTAATGTAAATTCATGATTATCAGTATAAGCAGTTAAAAAACCACCACCACAAAAACCAGACAAATTAATAAAGAAATTCCATGTCCTAGCCAGAAAATAAAAATTGAGTCTCTGCAAGACTGGAATAAAACGACCTTTGATTTAAGCACCTCATGGAAAGACAGAAAACAAAACTTCTCTCCCAGCGCGGCTCCCACGCATTGGAACCAGCCTCTGTGCTTGCTTGGGGCCTGCATTGTCCTTGGGCACTCTCAGTCCAGAGGGTCTGTCTGTCCAACTCCTGACTTTACCTGTTGAACTGACTTTAAGGGGCTGCATTTTTTCATGAAGAGAGATTCCAGCCTCTGCCATTTCTTCCCTGTTCAGTCCACAGGCTTTCAGGAGATCTAATAAAATGAGGTTGGCCCCTGGCACCATGAAGGAAACAAAGAACCTCCCCGCCCCGACTCGGGTCACACGCCCACCCTAGAGCAGGGAGGAAAGCCTTGGCACATACTCACTTGTCCAATCTTCTTCAAAGCAATGCAGGAAGTGGAATCCCACCATGATGAGGGCGTGCAAGGAAATGAGAGCTATGTACATCTGAAACAGGAAACCAGTGCAGACACCATTGTTGTGAGAATCCTCTGACCTCACAGGTTCCCGGGACAGGGGCTCTCAAAACTTGCCACTCAGGAATACTCAGCTAGGCCGAGGCCTGACCAGGAGGGACTAGAGGGCTAGCTAGTGATTCCCGACAGATTCTCCTGCCCCCCAGCCCTGGGTTGAGGTGAGCAGCCATCTCTGAGAGTATGTAGAATCATAAAGAAACAAGTCCATTGCCAGGCATGACCTGGGCTCCAGGCAGTCTAGTCTGCCTGGGAGGGGGGGGTCCAAGCCTCTGTACCTCCTCCCTTGAAAAGTTAGAATGCTGATTGCTGAGGACCCTTCTAGTCCTTGCGCTAAGTAGACTCCGCCTACCTGCAGCTCAGAATTTGAGGTCATCATCCCAACTGCCTTCTTGAGCTACTTAGGTCCAACACCTGGGATAGGAGCCCATAGCTAATCAACTTGAATCCATTTTCTAAACGCTCAAGTGAAGGGCTTAGAAACAGGCACTTATTGAAATAGAGAGCTCTTTGGCAGGAAGGCGGAGATCTACAGGGCCAGGCAGTATTCTGAACAGCAGCAAAGAACATCGTGAACGCTGAGAATTTTCAAAGGAACAAAGTGCTCCGTTACGTCATGGAGGGGAGGGCAGAATTTGTAAGCTGACTTACTGTAAACAGGACGAAGTACTTCTGGTTGTTCTCGCCGACACAGTTGTTGACCCAGGGACAGTGGTGGTCCATCTTCCGAATGCACCGCTTACAAACACTGAAACAGCCCACAGGTCAGACCTTAGGGTGTCCCCATGGTGTTGGGAGGGCCCTGAGGAACACAGAGCCCATGGCTCCTGCTCCACTCCTCTGAAATGGCTTCCTTGGGCACTGCCAAGGGTTTTGCTGGGTGTGTGTCACATGGGACTTAGAAGGCAGGGTCAGGACCCCAGGGGTGGCAGTCATTCCAAACAGGGCTACAGAGTCATTCTCCAAAGCCTCTTAGCTTGCTTAACACATAAACAGGATGGAACTAACATGGGTGAGAAAGAGGCTGCTCTCCTGGGGTAATGGGGGTTAGAATTTGGTTTCCTGAGAGAAAAAAAATGAAGTAGTTTCAAAAACTTGACCAAGTGGGCTAGGATATGGAGAACAGCTGCTACTCATTTCCCCAAAAGACCAAACCACCAAGGGCTGGGAAGAAGTTCTGGAAGCACCATGAGGTACTACCAGGGAGGGCCAGGTACCTCCACCATGGAGGAACAAAGGATGGAAGAAGGGGCTATTTCAGAGCAAGGTCAAGGACAGCAGGAAGCCCAGCTTCAAGATGACATCCATTGAGCCAAAAAAAAAAAAAAAAAAAAAAAAAAGAAAGCAGAAAAGTCATTTGAGGCCAGGCGCAGTGGCTCCTGCCTGTAATCCCAGCACTTTGGGAGGCTGAGGCAGCAGAATTGCTTGAACCCAAGAAGCATATGATGCAGTGAGCTGAGATTGTGCCATTGCACTCTAGCCTGGGCAACAAGAGTAAAACTGTCTCAAAAAAAAAAAAAAAAAAAAAAAATGCCGGGCGCAGTGTCTCACGCCTGTAATCCCAGCACTTTGGGAGGCCGAGGGTGGCAAATCACCTGAGGTCGGGAGTTCAAAACCAGCCTGACCAACCATCTCTACTAAAAATACAAAAATTTGCCAGAAATGGTGACACATGCCTATAACCCTAGCTACTCAGGATGCTGAGGCAGGAGAATCACTTGAACCCAGGAGACAAAAGGTTGTGGCACGATTGTACCATTCCACTCCAGCCTGGGCAACGAGAGTGAAACTCCATCTCAAAAATAAAAATAAACATTTAAAAAAGTCATTTGAGCTTAACTGTCGACCAGAGAGTTCATTAATTTGCATATTTCTAACATTATTGGGATAACTTTTGGGCTGAGACTATTTCAAGCTTACTTGATAGCAAGCACAAACCCGCTCTCCCTTTGGATGATACAAAGTAACAATATGAAACAAGTGTCCAAGACTACTGGAGGCTTGAAAGCAATTGCATCCCAAAGCTCAAGTTTAGAGACTCATTTGCCATGAGAAAGAAAAAAAAACTTTTTATCTGAGGAATGTGAGCCTCTTTATTAGGCCTAGAGAGGCACTGAAATGTAGTAGCCTGTGACACTGGTTACATCTTACACTCCCTTTTGAGATAAACAATTATCTTTTTTTTTTTTTTTCTGAGATGGAGTTTTGCTCTTTTTACCCAGGCTGGAGTGCAATGGCGTGATCTCGGCTCACTGCAACCTCCACCGCCTGGGTTCAAGCAATTCTCCTGTCTCAGCCTCCTGAGTAGCTGGGATTACAGGCACGCGCCACCATGCCCAGCTAATTTTTTGTATTTTTAGTAGAGACGGGGTTTCACCATGTTGACCAGGATGGTCTCGATCTCTTGACCTCGTGATCCACCCGCCTCGGCCTCCCAAAGTGCTGGGATTATAGGCTTGAGCCACCGTGCCCGGCACTTTTTTTTTTTTTTTTTTTTTTTTAAGCAGGGTCTCCCCTCTGTCACCCAGGCTAGAGTGCAGTGGTGCGATCATGACTCACTGCAACTTCCCAGGTTCCAGCGATCCTTCCACTTCAGCTTCCTAGCTGAGACCACAGGTGTGTGCCACCATACCCAACTAATTATTTTGTATTTTTGGTAGAGATGGGGTTTCGCCATATTGCCCAGGTGGGTCTCAAACTCCTGATTCAAAATATCCACCTGCCTTGGCCTCCCAAAGTACTGGGATTACAAGCATGAGCCACTGTGCCCAGCAAATAATTACCTCTTGAAGCCACTAGCTATGTGAGCTCTAGACTGATGTCAAGTAGCCATGAAATGACATACACCCTAATCACTAATCAATGTAATTTCTATAAACCAATGAGAATTCCTGTCAAACAGCTTTGTATCAGCCCACTCCTTTTCCCTTTAAAAACCTGCTTGTAAATGGGGAAAAGACTTCCTATTCAATAAATGGTTCTGGGGACAACTGGCTAGCCACATGCAGAAGGTTGAAGCTGGACCCCTTCCTTACACTATATACAAAAATCAACCCAAAATGGATTAAAGACCGAAATGTTAAAACCCAAAACTATAAAAACCCTGGAAGACAATGTAGGCAATACCATCCTAGACATAGGGCAAAGATTTCATGACAAAGACACCAAAAGCAATTGCAACAAAAGCAAAAATTGACAAATGGGATCTAATTAAACTAGGAAGCTTCTGCATAGCAACAGAAATTATCAACAGAGTAAACGGACGACCTACAAGTGGGAGGAAATATTTGCAAACTATGCATCTGACAAAGGTATAATTATCTAGCAACTATAAGGAAATTAAACAAATTTACAAGAGAAAAATAAACAATCCCATTAAAAAGTGGGCAAAGGACATGAACAGATACTTTTCAAAAGAAGACATACATGGCCAACAAGCATATGAAAAAAAGCTCAATATCACTGATCATCAGAAAAGGACAAATCAAAACCACAATAAGATACCATCTCACACCAGTCAGAATGGCTACTATTAAAAAGTCGAAAAACAACAGATGCTGGTGAGGATGCGGTTAAAAGAGAGCACTTATACACTGTTGGCTGGAGTATAAATTGGTTCAGCCATTGTGGTAAGCAGTGTGGCAATTCCTCAAAGAGCTAAAAGCAGAACCACCATTCAACCCAACAACCCCATTACTGGGTATATACCCAGCAGAAAAGAAATCTCTACCATAAAGACATATGCATGTGAATGTTCATTGCAGCACTATTCATAACAGCAAAGACACTGAATCAACCTAAATGTCCAACTATCTAAATGATGACAGATTGGATAGAAATGGGGTACATAACACATTATGGAATACTATGTGGCCACAAAAAAGGGAACAACAGACACTGGGGTCTACCTGAAGGTGGAGGGTAGGAGGGAGAAGGCCAGAAAAGATAACTGTTGGGTACTGGGCTTAATACCTGGCTGATGAAATAATGTGTGCAACAAAGCCCCACGATACGAGTTTACCTATGTAACAAACTTTCACATGTACCCCCAAACCTAAAATAAAAGTTAAAAAAAAAGAAAAACTCAAAAACCTGCTTGAACAAAGGCAACTTGGAAGTGTGTCTCAAGCTGTAGTCCTCAACCTTGGCCCAAATAAATTCTCTACACTAATTTTGCCTCAGTTTCTTTCTTTAGGTCACCAGCCAATAGATGTGCTCATTGACAATTTTTTTTTCAATTCATTATTTTAATGAATTCTAGGCTTCTTTTTATTATTTTGGAGGCATTATTTGTTCAAAACAGGTGAAATGCTATAAACAAAACTTTGAAATAATACAATTATATTTCCTTTTTAAAAGTTCCTTAGTTCAAGGCCAGGTGTGGTGGCTCACATCTGTAATCCTAGCACTTTGGGAGGCCAAGGCAGGCAGATTACTTGAGCTCAGGAGTTTGAGACCAGCCTGGGCAACATGGCAAGACCCTATCTCTAACAAAAATACAAAGAATTAGCCACCTGTGGTCCCAGCTACTCAGGAGGCTGAGATGGGAGGATTACTTGAGCCTGGGGTAGGGACAGAAGGTTGCAGTGAGCTGTGATTGCACCACTGCACCCAGCCTGGGTGACAGAGCAAGACACTGTCTCAAAAAAAAAAAAAAAAAAAAAAAAAAAAAAAAAAAAGTTTCTTAGTTCTACTGGGTGTGGTGGCTCATGCTTACAATCCCAGACTTTGGGAAGCCTGGGTGGGAGGATTGCTTGAGCCCAGGAGTTTGAGACAAGCCTGGACAACATAGCCCCCTGGGTCTGTCCCCCAAAAAGGTTGGTGATGACACCGCCAAAGCAACTGGTGACTGGAAGGGTCTGAGGCTTACAGTGAAACTCATCATTCAGAACAGACAGGCCCAGACTGATGTGGCACCTTCTGCCTCTGCCTTCATCATCAAAGCGCTCAAGGAACCATTGTGAGACAGAAAGAAACAGAAAAAGGTTAAACACAGTGGAAATATCACTTTTTTTTTTTTTTTTTTTGAGACAGAGTCTCTCTCTATTGCCCAAGCTGGAGTGCAATGGCTTGATCTTGGCTCACTGCAACCTCCAACTCCTGGGTTCAAGCGATTCTCCTGCCTCAGTCTCCCAAGTAGTTGGGACTACAGGCATGTGCCACCATGCCAGGCTAACTTTTGTATTTTTAGTAGACACGAGGTTTCACCACGTTGGCCAGGCTGGTCTCAAACTCTTCACCTCAAGTGATCCACCCGCTATGGCCTCCCAAAGTGCTGGGATTACAGGCATGAGTCACTGTGCCCGGCTGGAAATACCACTTTTGATGAGACTGTCAACACTGCTTAACAGATGTGGCACTGATGTTTAGCTAGAGAACTCTCTGGAACCATTTAAGGGATTCTGGGGGCTGCCCAGTCTGTGGGCTGCCAAGCTGATGGCTGCTACCCTCATGACGTCACAGATGACATCAATAGTGCTGTGGTGGAATGCCCAGCTACTTAAGAAGCCTTCACAAACGAAAATATTTCAATAAATGATCATTTGACAACTAAAAATAAAAATAAGTAAAAAATAAAAATAAAAAAAGTTTCTTAGTTCCCACCAGCTTTTCTCTCCACTAGCTTCCATAACGAATTTTACCTCAGGTTCTTGAAAAAGTGCAGAGTGGGCAATGGCGGGTGGACCCTGGAGGAAGGGCTGGGTGTCGGGGCCTTCCTGGATCACACTTACACCGCAGTGCTGGCTA